ACTTTCACGTTTATTTTGGCTTAATACTAGTATATTTTTATGATGGATATCATGTTTTCACCATATACACTGCAATTTTAAATCTGTACAATTGACAATTTAATATACCAAGTTCTGCAGCTTATCACCAAATTAAAGCACACCCGTTTCACATAAATTAAAAATTTACTCACTTGTGTTCATATTACTAATCCAATTATTGGACTATGATAATTTACACCTCAGGAACAAGAAAATTTCTGCAATTGAAAGAAAAAATCTGCTTTTTCACAAAGAATTATGAGAGAAGTAAAATTAAGGGTAGCTATACAACCAACAATTTGATCCACCAAGTTTCTACAACTTATCACCAAATGAAAGTATACACGTTTAGCATAAAAAATTCACTAACTCATGTGCATAGTACTATTCTAATCGACTGGATATCATAATTTATACCCATGAACAAGAAACTCTCTACCAAAGAAAATCTGGTAACCTAAACCGAAAATTTGATGAACCGAGTTCCTAAACATTATCACTAGATTAAAGCACACCTGTTTCGCATAAAATAAAAATTCACTAACTTGGGTTCATAAGGATATCTTGTAATTTACACCCCCAAGAACAAGAAATTTTCTATAATAAAAAAAAATAAAAAAATAAAAATAAATCTGCTTTTTTGCACAGAATTATTAGTGAGATCGAATTTAGGGCAGCTATACCAAGTTTCTTCAACTTATCACCGAATTAAAGCATATCCAGTTAGCAAAAATTACAAATTCACTAACTCATGTTCACATTTCTAATCTAATCAACAATATATCATAATTTACACCCATAAAAGGGAAATTTTCTGCAGATAATGAAAAACATAAAAAAAAAATGTCTTTTGCACATAATTTTAAGTAAGATCGAATTGAGGGTAGCAGTAATATAAATAATTTAAATTATTCACATCATATGTAATAAACGCACACCTGTTGCTCATTGCGGGCAAGGCATTTGCGGACGATTTCGCCTTCAAGTGCTCGGCGTTCTTCAAGGGTTAGATATTCATAGTATTGTGCTAAACGGGTCTGCCCTTGCTTGTTCACCATCAGAATGAATCTGATTCCCATTTTCTTTGATTTTCCTTTTTCTCCTTCTCTTCTAAATTCTGTGCTTTTTGCAGATCTCTCCCACCTTGATTGATTTGCATCTGGTTTATGCAAAGGTAATTCCCAATTTGGGCCCCAATATTTGGGAATAGTGTCAAATTGACCACAAAAACTTTGAGATTTTGCAAATTTATCATTTTTCTACATACTAAGCGGCTATGCCTATATAAGAGCATTTTCAATGATTGTTTAAGATTGAGTGTAAATTAATATTTTCAAAATTATTTTTGCAACATCATTTACATTTCAATCGATCTAAATTCAAAATTTCATTCTATAGAGGATCAAAATTCACTTTCTGCCTCTCGCATATATAAATTTACACTTTTTCCATTTTTTATTTTTTTTTACCAGAAAAACAATTTGCATTTCTTTCGCATCTCTCTATTGGAGATGTTTTCGACTACTTTGAAGAATTTAACACTACAATTGAAAATGCTGTAAGAAGAGGATTACTCTTAATAATTACTTCCTCATCTTATAATGATAGTCTTACTTACCTTTTTCGATTGTCCTAATAATTGACATATTCATTTCTTAATTTTTTAATATACTCTTGTTTAATGAGCCTTATTATCAATACATATGAACTATGTTATGAAAAAGAGAGAATAAAATAGAGAAGCCAATAAAAGTGAATAGACTTGTATGTATTATAACGAGAAATAAAGTATCATATTTATAGGGAATGATTAGGAATACAATTGTTATAATTTCTAAGCTCTAGGGGTAAAATTGTCATTAACAAATAAACTTACCATTTATAACACTCCCCTTGAATGACACCTTAAAAAATATTTATCTCGTTAAAATTTTGTTTAATAAAAATCAAATGGGACCAAAAAGCAAAAATAGTACAGTTATTTTGGAATATTAAAAATAAATACTATCTCATTAAAACCTTGTTAAGAAAATCCAGTGGAATAAAACTTAAGCAAATGAAAAATACTATAATTACTCCACTTGATTTTGATCACTTAAATCATTGAGTCGACACACTCCAGTCTCTTGAACCAATTTCTTAAATGTAGAAGTCAGCACTGCTTTTGTGAATAAATCAAACACATTGTCACTCGAGTGAAAATTTGTTGAATATCGATGTTGTCATTCTTTTAAAACTTATGTGTATGAAAGAATGATTGGAAAAATATGCTTCATCCTATCACATTTGATATAGCTTCATTTGAGTAGTGCAAGACAAGCTGTATTGTTTTCATATAAAATTGTTGAATTAAATTTTGTTGAAGTTAATTCACAAATTCTTAGATATGATGAGTCATGTTTCTCAACCATACACATTATCTCTTGTTTCATGAATTGTAATAATTTCAGAATGATTTGAGGATGTTGTTATCAAAAATTATTTTTCACAAATCTTCATGATATAGTTGTTTCTCTAAACATAAATATATATTATGTTTGTCATTTAGATTTATGTATATCAGAGAGATAATTTACATTTGCATATCCCATTAAAGCAAATACCGACTTTTGAGAATAAAATAATCTCAAATAAATAGTATCTTTCAAGTAACAAAAAGTGTGTTTAGCACCATTCTGATATCTTTGAATTGATGTACAGCTATATTTTGTAAGGAAATTTATAAAATAGCATATGTTGGGTCGAGTGCAGTTTACAAAATAAGTTAGTGTTCCAATTGCACTAAAATAAGGTAGTTCAGGAAAAGATAAAGAACGGAATGGATATTTTTCATATCAAGTGATGAAACAACCGTGGGTGATGCCAATGGATGTATATTATTCATATAAAAACGTTTTAAGACCTTTTTTTGTATATATAGATTGATGACCAAATAATAATTTTGAAAAATGTTCAATTTGTAACCCGAGACAAAATTTGATTTTTTCCAAATCCTTCATCTTAAATTCATGTATCAAATAATTTGTAATTTTGTTGAGCTCTTCAGAAGTTCCAATTAAATTTAAATCATCAACATAAATTGTTAAAATTGCAAATCCAATATTTTTTCTTTATGAAAACACATGGACAGATTTCGTCGTTTTTTATAGCATTTCTTCAACAAATATTCGTTAAGACAATTATATCACATGTATCAGGATTGTTTCAATCCATATAATGATCTTTACAATTTAATTGAGAACATAATTTTCGAACATGTATTATTTGTTCCTAGCACTTTAAATCTTTCGGGGATTTTCATAAAAATCATTATTTTGGGATGAATATCTTGTATGTTATAGACATTCATCACATAAAGAATATGCTACGTTAAAACCTTATTAGGAAAAATCCTGATGAAAAAATCCTAATAAAGGAAAAGAGTATATTGAATACACCATGTTCGCTAAAATTATAAACTGCAAGTGCACGGGTTATGTTCAAGTAATAAAGTGGACCTTTTGAGTCTAGGTTATCGATCTCTTGAGGAATATATACTTTCAATTACACAATTTTACTTAATTTAATTCTAACAATAAAAATAAATACACAATAAAACTATGATTTGAAAATAAGGAAAAATAACTAAAAATCTACAAAATAAGAAAATATAAAAATCTTGGGAATTTCAAAAGAAAACGTGGTTGTAATTCATAGTTTCGCTTAACTGTCGCCTAGGATTAGGGGTATATCTTATCTCCTTCACAAACCTAGAGTTTTTCATATTTGATTTAAAATACAAAATCCTCTATCCAACGATATACAAATTACTAAATATAATCATTTATTGGCTTCATTAATAAAAATGCAATACTAACAATAGTAAAAACACTTGAAAATAATTAACTTAACATTAAAGAGCAATTATTAAAATTAATTAAAAGCTTGGTTAAGTTAATACCACAAATCCCAACCAAATATTTAGCCCATATTATATAAATGATAAAAATGAGAATATTTTACACAAGGCATTGCAAACATGGCAAAATAATTAAGAAAATACAAAGTTATAGATATAACCCTTTTTTAAGCTTGACTTTGATTTCCCAAATATTTCTCCACCTTCTTGAATGATTTTCTTTTTTTGCTCTATAATTTGCTCCCAAAAATATTAAAGAAAGAAAATAAAAAGAAGAGAAAAAGAAATAAAATGAAAATGAAAATAAAAAGAGGAAGAGGCAAAAAGAAGCCCCCCCAATGATCCTCCCAACAAGAAGATTTTAATATTAAAACCTAGGAAAAATTGCAACATGACTTTTAAAAAAGTAACAAAAAAGTCCCTAGAGCGGAAACGGGGTGCTGCAGTGCCCAAATTCTGTAGTTGGGTAGAAGTTCGGCACGTGTAGTGCCTCTTCTTCATTTTTCATAATTTGCAGCTTAGTTCCTCCCATATTTGCACACTAGGTCCCCTCAACTTTGAACTTGCACAATTTAGTCCTCAAATTTTGGATTTCTTTCAATTAAGCCCTCCAAAAATTGCATCACAAGGTTCCCAACTTTCGACACTTGTGTGCACCTTGGTCCCCATTTCACAATTTTGTACGCTTTTGGTCACTTTTCACTCCCTTTTACTTTGTTATATTGCCTTGGGCGATTTTTACCTACAAAGCAATAATTATATAATTGTGAATAAAAATTCGCTCATTTAATCAATATTTAAACTTATTTAGGCATTAAATGAGTGTGCAATAAAAAATTTATCAAATATCCCCAAATTTAAGGTCTTGCTTGTCCCGAGCAAGATTATCAACTATCATAATCATGTAAAATGAGATAAAGATCAACACATTAGATAGCTTGCAAAAAATATAGTGTAAAATTGTATAATTAATTCACAAGTATATCCCAATAATGGTAACAAAAAATAATTTAAGCTCATCCAATGTTCGATCAGTGTGTGTGCATAGTCACTTTCAATTATCATCTAAATTAGCAAAAAGTTGTCAAGATGGAAAAAAATTCAAATTGGCTCCAACCCGACCCTTTGTGGTCAAATATTTTCATTTCCCACTCATGAGATTCACACTTTTCAAATAGATATAATTCTTCTTTTTTCCAAGGTGTAAATTTAAAGGTTGCTCTCCAATCACTAATTTCTTTTTCCATTCCAATTTGGTTGGATCTAACCGACAATCTCAACCTCTAGTCATATGATGATTTTCCACTAATGAGTGCTTCCACATTCAAGCTTATACTACATAATTCAAACTCATTAGTTATCCAAGCCTAAATATCAAATACAATTATCCCAAAACAATTTTTTTTCAGCCAAATCCCATATTTTATCTCAATCCCTTTAGCTTTATTTTTTACCATTGTAATGAGTTTTAGATCGATAATTCCTCGATTGTTTAGGCCAAAGGGTACCGAGTTTTGAGATACCCATACAGATTTAATAACTCGAGTTAAAAAGGCTAAGAATTGAGGCCTAGGATTCAACAAGTGTAATAACATTTTTTTTTAGTTTTTTATTTTATTTATTTGTTTATTTTTGTTTTTTGTTTTAAGCACAACGGAAATGGGGCTTAGATCCCAAGTATATGGTTATTACCTAGCTTATATTTGGCAAAAGACATTCCACATAAATATTTTCAGTTTGCATGGAATCATGCACTTCTACATAATATCCTTCACCGATTTGACCACTCGTAAACTTATCTCACAATTTGGTTAAGTGAAAGAGAAGTGGATATATGATTGACCAAAATTTATGCACAACTTACAACCTAGTTCAACCAATTCAAAAATATCTCCATCAAAATTTCACATCTAGATAACAACTAATCATGACTATTGTCCTCAAAATAATTCAAGATCTTAAAATGGATATTTTAAAAAAATTAGGCACAAATAACATATTTGGTTATGCATAACTCATAAATCAATAACAATTTTAAACATCAAACCATCCTAAGCTGGCAAGGCTATCTAACATGTTAACACATCATCACCAATTTAAGCACAATCACCCCCAAACTTAAATGACACCTCATTCTCAATGTGTAAAAGAACAAGATAAAAAGAAGAGGGGATAACGAAACTTCCCGATTGGATATTTGTGAAGAGGTACCAATGCTTGAATTGGACTTGGGACAACTTATCCCCAAACTTGTGAGAAACCATAGCTATATGGGACTTCAAAAATTACCTACAAAAAAATGATAGTCTTTAGCTCAACGAGAAAATCCCCCCAAAGGTCACTAAACTTTGCCAAAATGCCCTAGGAGGTCACCGAACTTCAAAAAGTCCCTAAACAATCATTGAACTTTGCCAAAGTCCCCCCAGGAGTCACCAAATTTCAGAAAATCCCTAAATGGTCACTAAACTTTGCAAGAGGTCCCTAGGAGGTCACCCAACTTTGTAAATTTAGGGCCTCATACATCATTAGTTGAGTGACCTCTTAGGGACCTCTTACAAAGTTCAGTGACCATTTAGGGACTTTCTGAAGTTCGGTGACTTCTGGGGGGACTTCGGCAAAGTTCAATGACTGTTTAGGGACATTTTGAAGTTCGATGACCTCCTAGGGCATTTTGGCAAAGTTCAGTGACCTTTGGGGGGGGGGATTTCCTCTTAGCTCAACAAGCATTTTTTATAGTCTTTAGTCAACTTTGGCCTTTGAATCATGAGCACCTAAAGAAGGCATTGGATGCCTTGCCCCATTTTTTCTTTTGGCTTTGCTCCACTCTTCATTAGATCTCCAAAACTCAACACTACTCCTTTCTATGTAATATAACTTGCCTATTCTATCCAATTCAAATTCAACTATGAAGATTTCTACTTCCTCATCGGGCTTAATCACAAAATCAATATCTTGACAATCAACCAAGTCAAAAGCATGTAAGTCGATTTTCTTCTCATTGATTGCCACATCTTCGTGTAGCTTCGTTGTGATTGATTTTTCATTCTCTTCAAGCTCTTTTCAATGGTTGATATTTCATCGGAATGAATAATTGGTTCGCCATCAAACTCTACGGGCAATGGCAAGTCTTTCCTATTAATCCTGTTGAGTGGATTATACTCCTACTTTTGAAATCCATCCTAATATTTGTAATCTCCTACAAGCATGTCTTCGTCATCCAACTTGGCAAGTTCATTGTAATACTTTGCAATAATTACATAATTGTGAATAAAAATTTGCTCATTTAATCAATATTTTAAACTTATTTAGGCATTAAAAGAGTGTGAAAAAACACATTTATCACATCACAAAAGTTATCTCAGTAAAAACCTTGATAGAAAAATTCAATGGGTCAAGATCTTGGTCAACGAAAAAATAGTACAACACATATTTACCTCTCATGATAATATCATTTGAATTATGCTCCACTCATATTAAAACCTTCAGGGATAAAATTAATAGTTATGCTAGATGAATTGACTATAATCAAATTAATAATATGTATATCAAATTTCATGCATTGTCATACTAATAAAATAAAGACTTTTGATTACATCAGTTGCAAGATAATTTATCTATTTATACAAGTCTTCGCAAAATTTATTATGTAAAGAGTCATGCATTCCATATTATGACTTTTTTTGTTTTCATTTCGCATAAGTATACACTTTTAGGTACTTGGACTATAGATTCAGAAATTTTAGTTTTTTCTAGTAAATTCAATTTTAGTAAAGTCGCGTCATTTTATTTGGTCAATCATTATTCCGATAGATATTATTTTGATTCCTTACTATTCATAATATGATGTAGTATATGATGTGTAAAGATATTGTCAATAACGTTTTTTATTCTATTTTTTCCCCATAATGACATAACTTGTTAAATATCTCAAGTTTCATTATTTTAGGTACTTGAACCTCTTACGAATTTTTATAATATGTTTAAATACCATCAAGAGTATGTATCTCCTTAAATAGAACCATCTTTGCTAACTGTTTCATTTTCATTTGGAGATTATTATATTATAATCGAATATAAAGTTAGAGTATCTAAAGCTAGCGTGTGAGATATTGTTGATCTATTTAATTAGTAAATGTATCTAAATATATTATATTTCAAATTTTGATTTGAATTATCGTTTGAAAAAAATTAGATAATAATGCATTTGTACATTACTTCTAACTTCTTAATTTCTCCCTCTAGCACTGAGTGAATTATCTAATCAAATTGATAATAAACAAATCGTTTTATGAAATATAACCCATTTGAGATAAGGGTTAAAATTACTCATTTCTTTTCAGCGTTCTTTACTTTTTATTTTAGGGCAATGTAGTGAATTAATTGCACTATCAAATAATTTGATGAAGAAATTAGGCTTTGACTATAAGTCAATTATAACATGGAGAACTATAATGTTGGCATGATGCATAATAATATTCCCTAAACAGAAATGAGAAGTATTTTGTTTTTAATTAAATTAATTGAAGACGTCTAACAAACAATATTGTTAAATCATTTATTGACGCCTCAACTAACACTTATTAAAAGTTGTGATTTAATATCATTAACAGTAATAAGACACATCATTTTGATTATATAATTCGAAAAGTATGCTCAGAATTTAAAATTTAAGCAGCAATTTCACAACCTTCAAGTTGTGAATACATGAATTTATCTAGTATTTGTATCAAATCAATTAGATACAAATAATATTTATATGGTCAACATGGAGGATGTTGGGATCCATTTATCACCCTGATTAATTTTCTAAAATATAGGGAATTCAGTTCCTATTTTAGCTAGTAATGATTAATGAAAATCTTTTATGAAAAAGAGCAAATATTATATAGGATTTCATTGGATTGAAGAATATCCACTTCTTTATCAGATATCCATTTAAATTTTTAATTTTACATCATTATTGATCCAGTAACGATCTAAGTGGTCATGCTAAATAATAAAATCAGATTGAATTTCTAGTTCAATATAAGATATAATTCAATTATTTAATTTCAAAGAATATGATTAAATATTATATAATCATATATTATTCGAGTAGTCAAATTAATTAATGTCCTCATTACATTAGCTATATGTTTTTCGTTTAGGAATAAACATGAATTCAAAATGATACATTCCTCGAAACATTTTATACTTCGTGAGCATGTTGTATTTAATTATTATTTCATCAAAAGCAATATGTCTTTATTCTCCTGGAATATTGGTAATTATAATTCATGCTCTTTAGGAATAATCAAATATTATTATTATAATAAATTATACAAGAATTTACTTTTCATAAGTAAAAAATATAATTTATGTTAGATCATATTTAATTATACTCTTTGAGAGCAAGTAATATTCTTTTGAAATATTAATTAAATTGTTTGTACTACTTCTGAAGCAACAAATAAACAAATATAATATTCTATTTCAACAATATTATAATATTTTTCTAGAATATTGATTTCCTTTCAAATATAATATGCAACATTCTTTTGAAATATTAATGAAAATTATTTCATTTCAAAAATAATATATAATATTCTTTTGAAATATTACTATAGATAATTCGGTTTTATCATTGATAAACAAATGATCCATAAACAGTGTCATTATTGAATTTACATAAAATTCATGCAAACAAGATATATAAATAAGATATGGATACAAATATGATATACATATAAAATAATCATGTTTCATAGTACAATAAAATAATCATGATTGATTATCACATACATTAGGAAAATAATCATTATACGTAGAGTAAAATAAACACTGGAACTGCTATGAATAAATCCTCTATCTATATGTTTGCTTAATTCAATAAATCAATACGGAAACATTAATTGGATGCGTTAATTAATAAAAAAAATTTCACATGTCATTAAATTAATTTTGGTACACGTGATAGATAATTATGCTTATAAAAATATTACATTCTAACTAATTTACTTTGATATTTAGAGACTTATACTGATAATGTGTTACGAAAAGAGAGAAAAATAGATAACAAAAGAGAGAAGCCAATAAAAGTCAATAGAGTTATATGAATTAAAGTGAGAACCAAAGGCTCATATTTGTAAAGAATGATTAAGAATACAATTGTAATAATTTCTTTAGTTGTAGAGGTACAATTGTCATTCACTAATAAATTTATCATTTACAACAAACTATTCTTATATAAATCATTATTTATGTAAGGGTACATTAGGATATGTGTAAATAATTACCTATCTTTATATATTCAGTCCTGCTATTCGTACAAAAGAGTCTAACAGAAATAGTTGACAGAATGACGTGGCAATTTTGAAAAAAAGGAACAAAACGGTGGATTTCTTTCTGGCCCACATCCAACATTTTATCCTCAAATTGGATGAACCCTACAGGCGACAAAAATCATCTTCTCTCCACCCCAACATCATCTATCTTCTCCAAATCTGTCAGACAACGCAACGACCCCGATGGTATACATCTGATCTAGTTACTTGGGTTTTCATTTCGCAGACAATCGATCATTTTTTTTTTGTCATTGGCAGCCGTGAGCACCATCACTTGAAGTGGAATCTGTACTAAACCAGTTGGTGAGTATGATTAAGAAATGGTATGAAGTTAGAACCTTTGGTATCTACGATTAAAAAATATTTGGTAAGTCCAATTGACAAATCTGTAGCTTGTACACTACTAAATCGTTTCCAAGTGTGCTTTGGAATTTGTTTTTAGAACCCTTATTCGAGCTTCTGTTGAATCAATGTGTATGAATTTGGAGTTAAAACCGTTTATTTGCATTTCACTTGCAAATATTTAAGCAACAATAACAGTCTTATTTGTAATATATATGGGATTGGATGTATATGACCATTGCCATTACATTTTATTAGTTTCCAGCCCTGTTATAAAATATTTAAGCAAAGATGAAAAAATCATTTCTTCTTTCCTACTGTGCAATGTATCAGAAAGTTCCCAAAACTTGCTTTACTAAGAACATGTATTTTGTTATCCTTTTCTATGACCATAAGATTGCACACAAGATCAGCAAAAGATGGCTATGTGGAGTTAGCTTCAACAAGGAAGAAACATGACAAGAGTAGCATATTTTTACATGTTTTTATGAACTCATTTTTTTTGTGTATTTGGCATGAAGCTACACTGAAGAGTGTGTGATTGGCATGAAGTAGCACGCATTTTTTCAGGAGAGCTGAGTGGTTAAGGATGTCCATGAGTGTGTGATAGTGGTTGGTGGTTGTTACTAGTATTAGTCGTTTTATTTGAAATTCGATAATTATTTGGAGTGATACAATTCAAGTGCCAGGCTATTGTTGCTTAGTTTATTTCTTATATATATGTACCTATTACGAAGTAGTTGTTAATTTCCATTTCACTTGCTCGAAAATTATGTTATCAAAATTTTGCAAACATTCAATTGAATTATTTATTATGTCCTATTGATATTACGTCTACGTGGTTGAATTGTAGCTTACTATGACCGGAAAAAAATCATGGAATATGTTATAGTTGTAGACGTAAAAGTCACTTATTTACGGATTGCCCAAATAAACGTCGATGCCTGTGGTGTAAACATGCATTTGTGTAGTGTTTTCAAGTGGAGAAGGATAGTACGAACAAAGGTCGTTCAATTGTTGCACTGCGAACTGCGAATATTGGGAGTGGGTTAAAGAAGGTGAAACGAGCGGTGAATCAAGTGCCGATGGCATTACCTCCATTAAACTTGTGGCACCTAAATTAGTTCAAGATATCTCTGGCATGTTCGAATCCACGTGTTGGTTAACTCATGAAAAAGACGTGGAGATTTCTGTAAATATGGCAATACACAAAGGACAAGCGATTGTGGAAGGGGATAATAAATGAACGTAGTGCGTCTAATTTGTAGTTGTTAATGTAATAAAATTGTTCTTTAACTTATATGGAGACATCATTTCGATGCCTACTATGTGGTTCACATAGCGTGAAATTTGTGTAGTGCTATTTAAGTGATGTGGGGACTTCATTTTGATGCCTACTATATGGTTAATGTAATGTGAAATCTATGTAGTAATTTTATGGAATTTTTGAATTGCAGTTAAGCTGGATTCTTTTACGTGTAAAATTCGGGATTTTCTTCTTGTTTACACATCTATAGGTTTAATTTCACTATCAATACTACATATTTTTGTTAGGGAAATACTTAATTTTGAATGATCATTTGAATGTAAAAGGTATTAGCTCGTTGACAAAAAACATAGAAGTTTTCACTGCCTAAAAATGAGGGATTCGTTTTTATTAGTGGCCAACTAAAATATTGAGATTTTTTGATGTGTATCGATTTTGCAAATCCACCATCTCTACAATTAATTGATGTTCTTTTTGCATAATCTGAAGTTCACACATTTTCCATAATATAGTTGTGGATAATTAATGGATGCTCAATTTGCAGTCTTAACTATACTTGTAATTTGAAAATCAATGCAGTGCATATCCTAATAAATTACCATGAATTACATCTCCAAAACAACTTGAATCTGGAACCATGACTACTGATATGAATGTATTTATACCACAGAATCACCTAAATAACATTAAAGTCATATTAAAGTAATTCTATGCGATACACATAAAAAATCTTAATATTTTGTTTTACCACAAATTCACCGTCTCTACAATTAATTTTCTTAAAATGTCACAAATTTCCAGCATCTTGGACGTGGGAGGTAGTGGTCAAATTTTTGTTCCTGATTATCAGAATTCAATACAGGAATAACAAAACATAGCAACTAACTTCACAGTTTCATAATGAAGTTCAATAGCTAGAATTAAAGTTGCAATAGAAAGTCATATGACATCGTCATCATCCCAATCATCTTCCCATTAACGAGTCACTTCCTCGCCTTCTGCTTTGTCGTCTTACTCTACCAACTTCACATGATAATTAACAAAACAATCAAAGAAATGCAAGAAGGATAAACTAATCCACATTGTCTTCTTTCCCATCTGAATACCCTCCACATATTTGGACTAACAAAACCTCCATCTCATGATCGAGCTGGCAAAGTAGGTTCCCTTGGTACCTACAAATAGTACAAAAACCTTAGGTTTTAATCAGACCAAAAGCATGATAATTCCTAAAATAAATGTATTCGTGGAGCTTAAAGGAAAGAGTGCACTATAAATGTGGTAGGGATGAAGTAAAATAGACGACAATATATTGATAAAAAAAGTGCACCAGAAAATGCACCTAACCATTCATCGAAACCAGCACAGCTTCACCTTCTATATCTGTGTAACAATCACATGTTCACGCAATCTTGGTTCGGTAAACGGGAAAAGTACTATGGTGTGGTTTCAAATCCTGTACAATATGAACATTGTTATAGAAAAAAGATAAATTTGTGAGTGGGTAAAACTGTTCAGTAACGTGCATTACCTTGATCATTGAACACATTTTCATTACTTGCGTTCGGAGGGATGAAATTGGAGGAATGTGGTTGTTGAGTACATCCCATACTTTGGTTATCACCCGACATGAAATCAGATGAGTTCGTAGACTACATATGTATCAAGGCAACTTAATCAGATAAAAATGCTAACCATTAGTAGTTGCGAGAACGATAAAGGTGCATGCATTGAATACTGTGCCCGTTCGACTAATTGAACGACATTTAAATCTTCTTCCATATTAGTTCGACATGCCTTTGGTCTCTTTCCTTTGTTTGAACTCGAACTTCCTTAGATAATGTCCCAACTTATGGGTGCTAAAAAAAGAACATTATGCCTTTGCTTTATTCAAACTCAATTCCAATGGGCTCTTCTTACGGAGTTTCTTAGGCGCGCCCTTCTTCTTCACACATTTTGGATCCTTTACACTATCGCTATCAGTGTCGTCCGACGCTCTACACGAGAGGCTGACTGGGTCATATGGAGGGACATGACATTACTCCCAGAACTAGATTTCGATGTCATTATCTCTTTACATTGATCTTCGATCCACTCCAGTAATGTCGTAGCTCTCACGACATCATCTACGGTTAGGTCTGCCAACAATGCGAAAAAAGTACATAATTTGTCACATATCAACTATCCTGGAGTACTAACCAATCCATCATAGTTCATAGCTACCCTCGTGTGAGCTTTACTCACATCTCTCCGCCATCTGCGTAGGATATATTTGTTAGGCAATACTTTGACATTGTGACGAATTAACACTGTGATTGCATGCCTACACAGTATTCCTTGAAACTCATAAGCGGTAACTGCAAGTAATTTCACACTTTTTTGGCTAAAAAGAGACGAAGAACGTCTTTTTCTTCGAATGTGATTCGTAGATTACATTCTCTCGTACCTCGTACCTCGTCCCATAGAGGTAGATACCAGGTCGCAATACATCTTTTCAGTGGACTCCTCTTGAACTTCTCTAAATTTAGAAATGGTGTAAACCTCTTGAAATTACTTTTCCATTTCATACCCTGTTGCACATGGTACCATTTGCGAGTAAGACTTGAAATCTGCTCGAAACTCCTTCTCGACTTTATTTCTCAATGCTCTTTTATATTGTTCAACGAATTGCTTTAACGATGTCTCCGAATGCACGCATCCATCAAAAAATGCATTCATACTCTCACTTCGTTGGGTTGTTGTTATTCCTGCCCAGAATGTGATTTTAAAATAGAAAGGAACCCAACGACATTTATTCTCGTATAGTCCTGCTAACTAATCATTATCATGCAACACATGCATATCGATCATAGCGCTCTACCCATCTTCATACTGTTCAACAAATTGAGAATCATAAATCAATTCGTGTATAGACTGAAATATAGAAGCCTTGTCCTTATGGCACCCAAACTTTTTTAGTAACTTTTTTAATATATGCCACAAATATCATCTGTGTTTCGTATTTGGAAACACGATCTCAATTGCATTTTGTATCACCTGTCTTGATTTGTGATTATCCCATGGGGAGCTTGGCCGTTCATGCACTGTAGCCGTGTCTTAAATAGCCATACAAATGTATCTGTATCCTCATTTGACACCTAACCACATCCAAGTAGTGTAGATTGTCCATGATGATTCACCCCAATAAAAGGGGCAAAAGGCATGTCATACTTATTAGTTAGGTAAGTCGTATCGAACGTGACACCGTCTTCAAACTCCTTATATGCTTATCTACTCCTATTATCTACCCATAAAACATTTTTCAACCTTGACTCATCATCCAAATCCATACTAAAGTAAAACCCCGAGCAACTTGCTTACATTTTCGAAAACTAAAATTGTATTGTTGCGGCATCTCTTTCTCCAATTCTTAAGCGTCGAACTTGTTCAACATAATTTCGACAATGTTTTTCTACGCAAGTCATATTTTCATATCCACCTGCTTCGACTACTGCATCATTGTAACTTTTGTGCAATGGAATTCCTACAATATCATTTACTTCAAGTCGCTATTTAACTTGTGCACTTAATTCCCGATTACATCGATACAACCTTGATTACGCCCAAAGTATAATGCGGTGATTGTAGTATAGATTTGGGGTGTCGATTTCACAAGAAGATGAAAATTTTTACCAAGGATCAAACAAACTAGGGTTTTCGTGATTTATGTGAATGTAGATTGTCAATTGAAGTGAAATTTAATTATCAATACGCAAAATTAGTGAAGCATCCAAATTTCCTCAATTGGATTAGACCATCGACATCAACAATTTATGGCTTTTTACTCAATTAGAGGTTTTCATCATAACCATCTAATTGGAATATTAAACAATGAAGATCAATTAATTTTCAATTGTAATCCTATGATCTAGACTTTTGTAAACTATTCCCACACACGTTTATTGGACTAAGATTAAGAAATGACCATATACACAATGCATAAGGCAGTAAATAATCCACCAATAAAATTTAATGAAATTGAAATTCAACAATTAGTTTAATTCTACAAGAGAGAAAAACGTGATTGAGTCTATGAAGAATATAGTAAAAGTTAAATCAATTCCAAGAGATTTCATGTAAGAAAATCTAGATCTAGAAGTGTTTGACAATAAAAGTACCAATTTGCATGAATAATTGATGTGAAGTAGCCAAATCAAATGAGTTCCTCCGTAGCTTCACTTAGGAATTTAGTTCTCCATGGATTTTTTGAGCCAAACTTGAGAGAAAATTGATAGGAGATGAATCATAAACATTCTGGGGGGTGGAATAGGGTTAAAAACGAGTGCCAAACACGTTTCCATAACAGGTTGGACGAATGAAGTAAACTAAATCTTTGGCTAGAATTTGTTCTATGCGACTGCTTTCAGCATTTTGACCATAACTTTTTTTCTCGATATCCGATTAGGGCAATTCAAAGTGCATTGGAAAGCCAACTCAAAAGAATACAATTTTCCTAAATAGATCTTTCCAAATTCGAAATTTTACTAGGTCAAAAGTTGATCTCAATCGCTAGCTGAAAATTCGAAAAATCCTCATGCGGTTGGAATTTGATTTCTAAATATGTTATGGTCATATTTAACTTCTTTTACTTTTAATTGCAACCCATTGACTCCTAACTTTCTCAAATCATCATTCCCTTGCCTTTCTCATCTTTGGATTATTTGTAACTTGGTGCCTGAACTTTCACTTTCTTCCATTTTGGTCATTTTTCGCTCTTTTATTCTAAATTTCACATTCTCTACCAAAATGCAATTTGAATCAAAGTATAAGTATAAGGAGTGCATTTTGGTATCAAAGAATCACATGAATGAAATAATTAAGAAGGGAAAATATTATATTTTACACTCTTAGCAAACCTCGACTTGGTCGGACTTGATGTGTTCGAGATTTACTGTGTTAATTCTCCAAATTCCATAATTGTCTGCTAATGCTGTCAATCTGACTTTACAACTTGTCCGAATGGTTTCTTGCAGCTTCAAAGTACTGATTGTCGTACTACTTTTCCCTTCGCGACTACACGTGAACGTAACATATTTCATGACTCCATCATCGTCCTTTTTCGAATTTCATTTTCTAACTTGAAAACATTTGTTGTACGCATATCTTTTATAAAAATTGAACAGTTCAACTTCGTCCTTGAACTTCATACCACTTGAGGAAAAACTACACCATCTCTGCCTAAGTTTTCATCAGCCAATAAGTTCATATCATCCTTCAAATTCTCATTATCAGATTCTACCAACATAATGTCATCCACATTTTGCAAACATTCTTTCCATGTAACAAAAAACCAACTACAATGTTAAATCAAAATTCTGAAAACTAATTTCCAATACAAGATATTAAATAAAAATAAAAATAAAAAAAATTCAAAATCAATTTACTAGGCCAACATTTCTACAACTAAAGATCTCAACGTCGACCCGTTCCCAAATCCCACGTTGGAAAAAGATTCCTATCAAAGAAAACCCCCAATTCCAGGATACTGAAAAGAGATGGGATAATTAGGAGATTAAAATGATCTGCAGCTTTAAAACTAGGAAAATAACAGTATAAAACAAGGGAAGTGATCAGTTTAGAAAATTACCAATAACTCGTGATGATCCTTCAGAACTCATTTCTTGCTGCATTTAACACAAAAGATGGGACTGATTTTTTAAGCGAAAAAGGGTATCCCCATCTTATTAGAAACTAAATTACAAGTTTTACATTATTAGAAACTAGAAAACCAAAACTTTCGTCTATTTCCATCTTTGAGTGAATGAGTTGAGTCAGGTGGAAATGTGATTTAAGAACTAACAGCGATGTCAACTTATGAAGTGCTGGTCGGTCCAAGTCTTTCTGGAGGTCGGACGTTGGCGTCGAAGGATACGTGTTGGTAGACTGCAATTGAATAATCTCCAAATTTGGGGAAAAACATAGCTGTCGGGTTAAAGAAATGGTGCTTCGGTTGGTAGGTCGACCGCGACTCAAAGATCTCAAGATTTGGGCAAAAATGCAGCTTACGAGTGGAGCAAAACTTGGGGGAAAATAAATGGCACCTTGATGAAAGAATGGTTTTACAGTGATCCCATCGCATGCTTGCATTTTGGTATTTTTTTTTTTTTTTTTTTAAAAAAACCATGCCAAGTCATTCTGTTAGGTAGGGTGTAAGCTAATGGTATACAAATAGCATTAGGTGGCCGCAAGTGGTAGAGATCAATTTTGTGCAGGGTGAGGTGGGTTCGGTTGGAGGGTGGGGGTGGGGAAGAAGACGGTTTTCATATTTTTCTTTCATTTTTTATTTTTGATTTAATTATTTTAATTATTTCATATTTGAAAATATAAAATTACTATTTTACCATTGCAAAATTGGTTAGAATTTGGTCAAAGTTGAAACTTTTGGTCAATTAATGGTGAATAGGATGGAATTTATCTATTTGGGCTCTAGCTGTAACGTTTTGAAAGGTTTCAGATGATAATTGCAAAATATGAAAGGTTAGGAAAATTTATTATGTTTTGAAAGGCCAGAGAGCGCAATTGCAATTATTCATAAAATTTATATTTCCAACTACATTAATTACATTTTTTTAAAAGTTCATAAAATAAAAGAAATTTGTAAAAGACTTAAAGCCTATGTTTGATGGGAATTAAAATCAAAATGAGCTTTTGAAATCGAAAAGTCGCTTTTGGACCCGTTTAACTAATTTTAAAAAAGTATGTATGACAGTTAGAAGAGTTTTTAGAAAAACATGATTTGATTTGATTTCTTCTAAAAACACATTTGAAATAGGTAGTGCTTTCAAAATTTATTTTCCAAATAAAAATGAAAGTAGCTTTCTCCAAAAGCTCGTCTACTGAAAGTAAAAGTAAAAGTTATGCCAAACCGACCCTAAATGTGTTAGTACTCTTAAAGAATCTTAAAAAGCCTACATTGAATACTTTTAAACTACTTAAATCCTTAAAAGTCTTTAAAAATCTTAATTGAATACAATCTTAATTCCTAGATGGAGCCCGAGATCCTTGAAAAATATTAGTTCTTACAAGAAACACATTATTTTAAAGAATTAATAGAATTCTTGCTTCCTAAACAATAGCTTACCAAATCTCGTTATAGGAAATAAAGAAAGTCTTCTTAAGTATAAAACAAATTAATAATAAATGACCCATATATATTTCACATACCACAAAATCAATTTTGATTGGGAGAATTAAGAAGGAAAGATGTGGTAATCAGACATTCTCACTTGAAAAACAAAGTGAGTTTGAACCCTTATACGAAACCACTGACTCAATACAGACCACTGTGTTAATAAAGTTAACAATGAAATTTTATGTAAACTTCAACGGTGTATACACTTACAAAAAATCTAATATATTTAATCAATAAAGTTAATATTAAACAAAAAAATATGTCATACACAAGGAAATGTTAAGATAATTCTTGAAATAGATCGAAACATAGTTTTCAAATTCCTTTTCTTATAAACGGATCATAAAGTACGTAACATGATAATTTTTCTTTCTCCTGCTTATAAACCCCATCTAAGCACGTCTGAACATGTTAATGTTGAGTACAAGTTGATGTGACTAGAATCTTCGGAGATGACTGATGAGAAATAAATAAATTTATCTGTACACTTCTGCTTACAAGTATTAGTCCCTTGTTTCAGCCTCGTTCTTTTCATAAGAATGTATTTTTAATAGTGTATTAATGAGAAATGTTTGATTAAAAAATAAGAAATTTTTTTGAATTTGCGTGTAATATTATTTTATTGAAGAATTTGTAATTGAAATGATATCAAAACACTGTTTAAGAATGTATTTTTTTTTTTTCGAAAGAATGGGAATCTAACATGGGCTAAATAAGCTTTATTAGAATAGATTCAATGCTAATGTCAAAATTCATATTCTTATTTAAAGGGTGGTACGATGTTTACTAAAAGATAATAGGAGTTGATGAGTCCGATTAAATATGTAATGAAAAAGTGAATAAAAGTTGTGGGTTCAATTAAATGTGTGATTAGAGATAAAATTTTACCATCCTTTTAGAAAACAAAAATTTTACAAAACAAGCACTAAATCAAAATGGATACATTGTGAACCATAAAACAGGTATTGATCTTTGAATTATCAATTAAAAAAAGTTGTCTGATTCTTTCCTTTGTCTCGAAGCCTTCATTGGGATCAATCCACCTAAATAATAATTAATATACAATTTAAGAATGTTTGGCTATGCTTATCATAATCAACATAATCAATTATTTATCACTCTTTAGCCGAACAATTTTTTAATGGTAAGACCAACTTCAACCCATTTCATTAAATTAAAGGTTCAATTTTCACACCATCTTATTAATAATCTCCAACCCATTACATCAAACGTTACACGCACAAAAAATATTTTCATTCTTTCCTTATTTTTTTAAACTCAACAACTATTTTATTTCCAAAATTATTTACTTACATATTCTATTACTAATTACATTTAATTAACTAAAATATTGCTTTATAGCAATAATAAAAGCATTTCACATAATATAACAATTTAAAAATATTATATTTCACAATAAAAAATTATATATAAATATTAATGCATTTGATAATTATTACTTATTAATTGATTAAACTTATTATAAATGTCAATAAAAAAAATTAAATTAAAAATAATTCATTGAATAATTAAAGGGTATAATGTGAATTAAAATTTTATTGTACTATAAAATGAAGGACCATATTACGGTCCAAACCGTATTCCACTAAAATTTTGAGGTGTCAAAAGCCAAGGAAGAGGGAGATGGAACAACATATGTGAACTAACTCATTTTTAAAAGAATAATGCTACTTATAAATAATGGAGTGACATAATGATTTACGTATAGATGATGTATCTAAAAGAGAATAGAGAATTTTTCTGTGGTTAAAGAAATTCTGCTATAAAATTATATTTCGCGATATCATATATATGTAAATCATTATGTACATGTAGTACGATTGTTTTTTCAAACATATGTCACTAAATTGTACATTTTTCAGAATGCTTAACACAAGTACATATTATTGCCAAGTAAATGTGTCATATAAATTTTGATTTCTGAAGTTCATAATGCCGTTGCCCTAAATAGGGTTCACATTGTTGTGGTACAAGTAAGATAGCTTTCCATCAAATTTCTACGTCAACTGATGCGAAATGAATCCACTGTAACGATTTTCATACGTTGCCATACAAACCTCAATGACCCTCTTCAACATCTGATCTTCTTCATAAAATTGCTGACTTATGAGTTTATCGAGAGTTATCCACTGTATTTACATAACATTAATACCGCAAAAAAAAAAGAAAAAAATTTGTCATTTTCACAAACAAAATGAAATCTTGCAAGCTATAATCTATATAAATTTGGTTACCTTGGCATCCTGTATTTCATTTTCGTCAATCTTGATAATGAAGGATAATGGCTTAAGCATGCAGACGAACAGCAAGTCTGATTTCTCAAAAGCCACTTGGTGTACATGTCTGGGATATTTGCAACGGAAAAATCTTTAATTTAATTTAATCTAATTTTATTATTATTATTTTTTTTTTTTCACACGTATCTCTTTCTTAATAGTGTCGAGTACTTATTGCTTCAGTACATGAAAAAAGGAACCACAAAAAAAGAATATTTACCTGAAAGCAACCAGCTCCAGGAATGTTGTGTCTATCTGTAATGGGAAATAGAAGAAGAAAATTTTCATTTATTATTCCTTGAAGCTGTAATGGCATGAAACAGTAATTATACGGAAAATGAAAGTAACATTTTTTTGTTCTTACACCAATTTCCTCTTTCACTTCTCTTACAGCTCCTGAGAACAATTCTTCAGACTAACCAAGTTGAAAAATAAATAAATTAGCACTTGAACTATTGGAAGAACGAAATGTAGTAAGGTGAGTAAAAATTCAAAACTCTTGTATCGTCTCTAAAAACTTAAATATTTCGGAAAGTCTCATTGTCGCTCATTTATATTGTTCCTGTTTCAGTTGATTAAAATGAAAATTTGATTTGCATGTGAAGGGTTGTATAAATAAGTTTGATCCCACTCAAGAATTGAAACTTTTAGATGTCGTAGTTGACGGGTATTCACTTCTAGCCATTTATTTATCAACCCTGTTACGTGTACATGGAGAATTGCTGGGCTATATTGTAGGGGGTTAGGTGGCGTGAATTCATTGGTTCTTGAACAAAAAATAGTATTATCCCTAGTGATGACATGGCTCGGCTCAGCCCTTTAACCCACGAGCTCGGCTCGGGCTCGTGGAGAGCCGAGCTCGTGGCTCTTGAAAGACGACCTGAGCTTGAGCTCGGCTCTTTGCTCGGGGGCGAACTCGGCTCGGCCCATGAGCTCGTAGCTTACAAGCCACTAGCTCACGGGCCGAGCTGAGCTGAGCCCATGAACCGCTCGCGAGCTCGCCAGCACATTTTGGACCTTTTTTTAAAAAAAAATTCATATTTTTTGACGAGCTCATGGGCTCGATGGCTCGTGGGATTGAGCCCCTGCTTGGCTTGGGCAAATGACGAGCCCAAGCTGCCCACGAGCCAGGTTTTGATGAGCCGAGTGGTCGAGCCGACGAGCCAAAATGACGAGCCCAAACTGCCCACGAGCTGAGTGGCCGAGCCGACGAGTGGCTCGGCTCGTTTGACATCCCTACCAACCAATGCACAGGCGCCATCTGTCTCCCTTGCATTCTCCCCAGCAATCTCTCCTGAATAAGAGGCTTAGCTCTTTACTTATTTCCTAAAAGTCGAGTACATATACCTTGTTGATGTATCCAGTTGGCAACTTCCACACCCCATAGCAACTACAGGAGCATTTTTCTTTCACTACAAGAATCTGATGCCATAATTAATTTCATTTAGGCGAGAAATCAAACATTGACAGTAAAAATATTAGAGCCAATAGAGAAAAAAATGGGTTAAAATTCGTTCGAGCTTGTGCTACGTAGCTTCACACACTTGTGCACGTATACCTCTTTGTTATCGTTGATCACGAATCCTGCAATGCCGATCTGATGGGACGGGCCCAAAGGGAGAACGCAAGGCTCATCAGGAATCCAGTAGGTGAGCATAACATATGCAGGTTCAGCATGGTGGTAGACAAAACCTTCCTGCAATTTTGTTAATATTAAACAAAATTATCGAGCACTTTTTGATGCATAGATATAACAAGATCAGTTCAATTGCAATAATGTATATGGAACAACCTTAATAGCTATTGGAACAAGATCTGCTTGCTCTTCCAACAATTTCAGCCATATCCCTCTTTAACCCTGCATTAGAATAACGCGACAAGACTAAATTTTGGCTACCGTCCTTAATTTTTTACTTCGTTTCGCACTTTGTCCACAACCTTCTATTTTTGGGTTAGTTCTCTAAATGGTCATTGAACTTTTCTCAAAGTCCCCACAGGGTCACTAGATGTAAAAACTGTTCCCATTAGCTACTTAAATTTGAAAATTGGTACACCATCCATCACTGCATAATGACGTTTGCAAAACTAGAAGGATTTGATGACATTTCTAATTGTATGATTTACGTGGCACGCATTTGGGAACTATAAATCAGATTTTTACATAACTCGTGCTATAATCAGACTTCGAAAAGTTCTACCTTTTGATAAAATCACGCATTCAACAGTCATTAAAAAACAACCAAATATGCATTGGACCATTTTTGAATAAAAAAAATACCTGTAGACTCATGCTCACCGTCATCAAATCCTTCCAATTTTGCAAGCTTCGTTTACGCAGTGTTGGATGGGTACCAATTTTCAAAGTTAAGTGACTAATGGGAATAGTGTTTAAGCTCAGTGACCCTATGAACTTTGAGAAAAGTACAGTGACGTTTATGGAATTAACCCTCTATTTTTAGGCACCTTACTCACAGGTTCGGCTCAAAATATGCGAACACGTGCACTACTTAAAATTGGAAGGTTGGTAATGATAAGAGTATGATTATCCTGTTTACAGCATATTCATGTTTGTTTATTCTCCATGCCCGTGGCTCACCTTTAAAAAAATAACTAGAGGGTAGGAAGGTCTCATCTGACAGATAAAATTCCTTAGCTCGAGTTAGTCACCATCTATTTACGAAGTTTGTACACGATTTAAGTCTTTTTTTGTCGGAAAAATAAATTTACTAAGCAGACGACATGAGCATGCTAAGGATAAAACTTAAATAAACATATTTATATCATTGGAATTGATTTTCTAAACACAAGTGCTTTAACTATACTGAGCACCGGGTGACGTGACACACTATAATAGGTTATGTAATCAATCATTATCTCCCACCACCTATTATAGTGTGTCACATCACCCAAGTGATTATGAGATCAGTCATTTATATCATTTCTAATAGTTTAGGCCTCTATACGATTTGATTGGATTCGCGTACTAAACCTTGTACTTCCAGGTGGACAAAGAGGCCTTAAGCACTGAAGCAAAAGCATTTGCAGAAGAGGGTAAGCTTGTGGGTTCAATAACGACCCCATTGTAATCATCATTCCATGCATTCAGCAATCCAACTTGTAACTCTGGAGCCATTATTTTTGTAGACAAAACTTCAACTTCTTGCTTTGGAGAAAAACCAAGCTTAAAATCAGGTGTTTTAGCAAAAAACTGCTTCGATTTTATACCTGAATACACAGGGAAGATACGGTAAAATTTCTCGTGTCATTTACAATTCACATATATGTAAAAAATAGCATAAGAAATATGACAATATCATCTCTTGATTAAATATTAACTCACTCTTGGAAAATCCAATAGCAGTGTCACTTTTGCTCCATGAAACTTTGGGGCCAAAAGAACCTGGAAATTGGTAGATCGATACTTTTGATGCCATCACTACTGAGTTTTTGGACAAATAACTAAAATTCAGGTTGCTGTGTATAGCTGTTGTCTTCATATATATAGCCTCTGGACTGGTATGCATATTAGATCAGCTGATGAAAAAGGAGAATATTACGCGAATACCATCAGGTACGTCAAGTAGGAGGAAATACTTTAGCCCATGTATGAGTTTCATTCTCTAAAACTCATCTTTTTCCCAAACATATTTTCAATCATACATATTTTCAATAAATTAATTTTGCACATAGACAAAAAAATAAAATAAAAGATAAAAAATTAAAAAATCCTTACTTTTTAATTGCAAGTTTTTTAAAAAATTCATTTTTTCAAAATATATTATAAAAAATTGGGCTCAACGAGGTCTTATAATCACATTTGATGATGTCATGTGAATTGCTAGAAACATGTGAAGTGTATGGCTAACCCAATAACGAAAGTTTCGTAAGGGGACTAGAGTAGGCTACCATGAGAGAGGTTTTTAAATCTAAAAACTCAAAGCTGCCAAGGAGATGACACGTACTTTCGAGTACAAGTCCGATTCATTTTTTCTAGAGAAATGCTAGGTCTACCTTGGCTGACAGCCTTCTAATCGTGGGGGTCCCACCTCCTATTAGAGGACTATCAAACTAAGTGTACACCAAAGTACCCTTTGCAAATTTATTTATTTATTTATTATTATTATTATTATTATTATTTTTTATCAAGGGCGCATACAAATACACAACTTTTATAAATTGGTGTTGGGCCTTTGCCTTACGTTCTCATCACAATTTGCTTTACATTTACTAGGCACATCCAGAATATTTATTTGAACATGCTTCCAGAATTGAAATGACGGAATATTCCCCTCGTTTATCCAGATTATATACTGAATGCTTCATCCATTACAAATTACAGGTATCTTTCAATTCTCAAGTTGTGAAATATTCTTATTTAACTGGAATCCATGTTTATTTATTCATGAAATGGAACAATTCTTATTCTCTGCTGAATCAGTTATCAGTCCATACCTGCTATTGTTCTCTCTATCTTCTTCTTCAAGATGTAATTCAGAAATTGAGTGGTCTGAACGAGTTGTTTCTATTGGGGATATTATACCAATAACGTGAATGAATTATATTCTCAAAACGTACCTTTTACGTGCTTGAAATCGAACACAATTTCGACTTACCAAAATAGAATTTGAAAAGACGAAATGATAATTACCATAGTGATGACGGATTTAATAATTTCATTCTTCGACGAAAAACCAATTTCTTTCTTCAATTAAAACTTTTCTAAATTATCAAAATAAAGTTAGCATTTTCTCTAATCGAAACAAAGGTTAAAAGAAATCAGAAAATAAAATAGGAAATACAAGGGATTGGATTGGTCAGGGCAAGTCTTTGACACTTTCTCCATAAGATGAATTTGCCTTGTCTTGTGCTAACATTTTTTCAACAATCATCTCCCAAAATGTAACGACCACGTCTCGCAATAGGATCACTACAAATTACTCTGAATGGAATTGTCTCTCTACTGAATCACGATTTTATGCAAGAAATTCAACAATCATCTCCCAATATGTAACGATCACGTCTCGCAATAGGATCACTACAAATTACTCTGAACGGAATTTTCTCTCTAATGAATCATGATTTTATGCAAGAAAAAACCACTTCTACAAAGTGTTTTTATGCAATGTAATAGAAAGAAACGATATGGAATTATGAATTGAATCAATAAAATCCAAACACATGGAATCTATATATAGTAATTGGAAATGTTTGTCTCAAAGACGCAACCATACCAAAAGACACCTACTTTTGAATTTATCTCTATACATGAAGAGAAACTTAGTAAAAAATAATCATACCAAAATTCACGATCTCTCATATGAAAAGACACACCTTTCCATCAAACTATTTTCTAGAATATTCTATATGATTTTCCAACAATTTAAAGTATTTAAGCGGCTTAAATTTGGCTTAATTCTTTATTCACCAAATAATGAATTCCACTTAAATAATCATTTAAAAAGGGTCACAACCAATTTTTGATAGAAAATCTAAACAACTTCTCACATGAATAAAAATTAATACAAATGACTTTGCAAACGCTCGTAGAGAGATAAGCCAAAAAAAAAAAAAATCACACCAAAAGAGGTAGCTTCTGACCTTGAACATTCCTTAGTGAGATACTATTGGATTTACTTGGTTAATTGGTGAATGCAAGGTCTCGAACTATCCCGCCATTGATGTAAATCAAGACAATAATATTTCCACAATGTCCTTCCGAAACCATTTCGGCTCTCATGATTGTGTTCGTTTTGACCCTGAACTACTTTTAGATTTCATAAGTGTTTTACAGAATTTTAGCATCAAACAATTCTCATAGAAGCAATCCAACTTCACATTTACATAAGTGACGTCCTATTAAGAGTATTCTGTCATATTCCACTTAATCTATATTTATTTGGTTGATAGTAATATGAGTTGAAGCATTCTTTTCATGAAGTCACGAGTCATTTTTAATGAAGTAAGTTACGTTTTCAAATAAATGTGTACCATAGTAACAATACTATTGCAACGAAAGAAATTAAAACTTAAATGTTTGAAATAGGATTTCTGACAAACACAAATAAAGATAGAATAAATTAGACGACAATTGTACACCATTGAAACGACAAACTTTTTTTTGCTGCGACGTAAAGTTAACTACGATCACAATTTGACATAAATAAATATTCATTGTCACAGAAATTATTTGCATAATAATTTCATATGTTGTAGATTAAAATGTGCGACATATATAAATAATCATGAAATAAATTAGGCAACAACTATACATCGTTGCACAAATGATGATGTGATAATCTCTTTTTTGCAAAATAAATTTAATTACAAACACTCCTTTCTACATAATAAATTGTACTACAAATATTGAATATATTAAAACATAATATACGAAATATCAAAAACATTGTAAAACATATTTCATGACAAACATTACTTAGGTAGCAATAGTTACATCTTTAAAAGAATATTCACATCAAATATTTTCTCATAAAAAATTTATTGGAATAATCATTTTGACAAACTGTCCTGTTGCCTTTTTATTTTTTTGGCTATATATATGCAATACAACGACATTATGGCTACAAATATGGTGTTCAGTGGCGGATGGAGAAATTTTGAACTGGTGGGACACAATCAAAATTACAAATAAGTTATAAAAAATAAAAAATAAAAACTTTCGATACGCAATAGAATGGTTTAATAGGATGCTTGAAAAATAAAAATAAAATGCTTGAAAAAAAATATTATCATTATATATGGAAAACCAAAGCATCTACATCCGACGACACTAGATCATCACTGTTGAATTTAGACGCGAAAAATAAAATTTTATGAAATGAAATTATACAACTTTGATCACCACTATCCAATATTTTATTTACCCAAAGGACAAATGCAATTTTTTCATTCCAACGAAACACACATGCCGTATCTGACTTTCCCTACCCTTTCTCTCTTACCCCACAAATAGCACTTCACCCTCTTTCCATTCTCTATTTCTCTTGCCCTGTTTCTTTGTACATGATACATACACAATACACACAACTAAACATATATTTATAGTAGGCTATGTCGTTGGAAGAGTGTTCATCAAAATTCTTGATAACTCCATGAATCGATTATAAGGAATTCTCATGGAGGACTCTAGAATGGTGGCAGTAACATCCAAGAGAATTCTTCAGATTTTTCTTACAATAATTGCTTATTGATTAAGGTGGTGATGATCTTCCATCACCAACCCTCACATATGGTTAGCTGAGTATACCATAAAAAATCACCAATCAATATTCAAACATATCAAAATCAATTGGAGAAAGGAGGAGGAGACTGAAATTGAATAGAATGGGTTTTGATTTTCCAAGGGAAGGGCTTTGATTTTTCAATTTGGACGCTGAGTTCTTCTTCTCGGTTCAGCAAACTTCAAAGGAAAAGGGGGCTAAAGGCTTAACACCCCCCCCCCCAAAAAAAAAAAAAAAGAAAAAAAAAATCAATTTTGGAAGTTGGTGGGTCACGTGACCCACCAAGACCCACTGTAGGTCTGTCCCTGATCGTGTTGCTATTTTGTATTTCCGGTGTCAAACAAATAGCATTGTGATTTTGTGAATGCGATGAATGATCGAAGGTTGTCGTAGAATACGTATGTAACTTAACATTCACAACAAACATATTTATCGTAAACCTTTGTTGGAATATTCGTTGCGATAAATTGACTTGTTGTCCTTAATTTTTCTCGACATATAGACAATGCAACTACATTATGGCTATAAATATTGTGTTGCTACTTCGTATTTTCTGCATCAAATAAATGGTGTCACAATTTTGTTAATTCAAGAAATGGTCGAAAGTCGTCGTGGAACACATTTTGTGACTTATAACGCTCGAAAATACTAGCAACAAACATAATGTTGTCGCTAATTTACTTTTGCAACAAAATCTAAGTTTTTGCGACAACAATTTTTTTTTGTCGTGAAATTGATTATTTTTTGTAGTGAAGCTATAGGAATCATTAAAAGAGTAACTTAACCTTTTAACATTCTATACAAAGTAGTTTGACTGCCATAGGAATGAGCATGAAGTGTTTCATAGAATCTTCATAACTTAGTTGTCTTATTGATTCATGATCTTGGGATCTCCAGTCAATAAGGTTGTGTTACCATTACAAAGATCCTAACGTAATAGGCTTTAATATCATTCCCTTCAATGGAAAGATCAATTGCTTTAATGTCTATGATGTACATGCCAAGACATAATATTTTGACATACTCTGTATCATAATAATTTATTCAATACATACCAAAAGTCACAAACTATGGAATCTTCCCATAAAGGCATCAAGCTACATGCTTTTATCTAGCCTTATCTAAGTTATACCTTAAATTCAATCCATAATATATTTGGATGATTTATAGCACTTCACATTATTGGCCATAATACACGACTTTACTAGTGGATTTTGAAACATTTG